CACTGAGTTCCTTTGTGGTTTTTGTGGTTTTTCCTTCTCAACAGCAACGAGACAAAAAACACAAATAAAGGAAAATTCATTTGTGCATCCACACATTGTGGTGGGGCTTGATGAGACTTCAGCTTGTCAAAACCAAATTTTCCCTGTCCTGCAGGGAATTTGAGGCCAGAAATCTGTTTGTGCTGCAGATGTGGGACCACAAATTGCTCAGAACTGGGGGGAATTTCAGTCCCCATCAAACCTTTGAGGAGACTCCAAAATGAGAAAAATGCTTGAAATGATTTTTGTGCCTCCCACTCTGGGGTGCTGGTGTGGAAAGCTGCTGTTCCACTCTTTATTTTGATTTTTTTTCCTTTATTCTCACACTCACATACCCTTTAAACACAGAGCACCTGCTGGTACCAACATTTTAATGAAAAAAAAAAAAAAATTGGATTTTTTTTTTTCCTGGACAATTTGAGAAAACCACATCCATTCTGATCTGATGTGGGATTTTATTTTTTGTTTTGTTTTCCAGGGTGGTGAAGGAAGAAATCTCAGATGACAATGCAAAACTCCCCTGCTTCAATGGAAGAGTGGTGTCCTGGGTATGTTGGATTTATTGCTGTAAATCTCTTTTGTTTGATGCTGGAGGCTGATTTTTAGAAATATCTTGAATCTCAAAATGAAAACCGAGGTATAAATTTGAATTCTCCTATTTGAAAAGAATATCTTTTAAAAAGCAGAGTGAAGTCCACCGAGTGTGCAGAGCTGGACAGGTGATTTTGACATGAAAGCAGCTTTAGTATTGTCATTAAACAGCCAAAATAATTTATTCCAAAACAGCTAAACGTGATCTTCTGGTAGATTTTGGTTATGATATTTAAATTTCGGTGAATTGGTATTGTTGGTAGTGCCTGGAAGGTTTAAATGAGGTTAAAATCTCGGGGCTAAACATTGTTTATACATTCAGTAAAAAGATTGTAAGATTGATAACCTTGGAAAAACCAATTTAATATAAAAATGAAGGAATTTGGGCTGTAAGGTCGTGGAGGGAGTCGGGTGTGGCTCTGCACATCCCATCTCCCTCCGTTTAATGTGCAAATTTCTAAAATATGCCAGCGTTGGATTGGCCCCTAATTGGAGTAATTAATTCCCAGCCCCTAATGATCCTCAGCGATTGGGCTGAGCTGCTGCTGTCCCTTTGTCCCTTTGTTCTGTTCCACTCCAGGGAACGGGAAAAGTCTCCTGCTGTGGGATGCAGCAATTCCCACCTGCAGGTGAAATATTGGAGAAATTTGGTTTTTCCTGCATTCACGTTTCTCAGCACCTTTAGGCAGAGAGGAGAGCAGTGATATTTTAGATTTTATCACCAAAAAAAAAAAAAAAAAATGTTTGAGGCTCAATCTGTGATTTCAGCTCCTCCTTCAAGCTCAGTTTCCAATCCTGGGAGCACAGCAGAGCACCAGGATGGTGTTGTCCAAAATCTCAAGTTTGTTTTGAGGATAAAAAAGTATTTTTTTTTTTGTGATTATTTTGGGCTTCCCCAAGTGCTGGCTTTGGAATTTGGTGTTTCCAAGTGTTGGAAACACAGTGAGTGCCACGGGCTGAGAGCTGGGCTGGATGGAGACCTGGAACAGCTTTTCAGCATGGAATTAATATTAAATATTAATTATTAAATATTATTAAATAAATGTCTGTTATTAATTAAATGTCTGTTAAATAAATCCCGGTTTTGGTGGGATGAAGGTACACAAGGAAATAGTAGTAAAGGAGTTTTTTCCTGCTGCACAGTTGGAAAAAAACTTGGAATTCTCAGCTTTGTCTCCATCTCCTTTCCTTTGCTGATTTTAGATGCTTCGTGTGATAATTGAGCAAAGATTGGTGTTCATCACCCAAGCATCGGGGTTGGTATAAATCAGAATTACTCAGCTCTGAAGTGAAGTGTGTGAATTGGCAGTGCCTTCCTTTCTAGGTTAGAAAACGGTGGCCCCCCCAAAAATGCTGATTTCATGATAAAATAATTAAATAAAATATTCATTGATAGGGAACGGACCTGCTCTGGTTGGTTCCACATTCCAACAGCGGTAAGATTTAAAAAAAATAAATCTTCGTGTCAAAACCCAAAGTGTGCTCTTTACACAAAGCGCCTCAGCCTTTTTAAAACAAAATTATAATTTTTTTTTGTGTGTACTTGGAATTTAACCCGATTTTCTGGCACTTTGGCAGCGATCCCTGTGCTCAGATTTTGGGATTTTGACAGAACGCTTTGGGGGGGAGAGGGGGGGGAAGCGCTCAGGCTGGAGAATCTGGTGGGAATTTGTGTAATTTAATTTAATTTAATTTAATTTTTTTTTTTTTTCTGTTGGCAGCTGGTCCTGGCTGAAAGCTCCCACTCTGACACGGGTTCCCAGTGCACTGAGAGCCACCCCGAGCTGCCCCCAGCCCTGGAGAGAACCGGAGGCATCGGCGACTCCCGGCCCCCATCCTTCCAGTAAGACCCAATCCTCCCACTTATTTCTCTTTTTTTAAAACAATTCCTAATCAATTTCCATTTTTTTAAAATCCATTTCTAACTCCTGTCTATTCCACACCCTCCTTTCTATGCCCAGCTGTTCGTTGTTGTGGTTCTAAAAAAAAAAAAAAAATAAAAAATAAAAAATCAAATATCCAGGAATTAAAAAGAAGGATGGGAATGAAAAATTATCGTTATCAGAGTGAAATATTTATCCAAAATTGCTCATTTTCAAGCCTGCTGTGGATGAGTTAAGTAAGGAGGGAGCTCAAAAAGCTTTTGTAGTGTGTGGCTGATCAGTAATTAGTATTTTGTGTAATTAGGGAGGGTGCAGAGCCAACTGAATTTTCCCCAGGAGGGAAAATTTCCAGAAGGAATTAATTCCTGCTCCAGGCCCTGCCAGCTCCAGCTGTGTGTGGCCAGCCTGGCAACATCTGCTTTGAAATTTTTATTTCCTCATCCGAGGGGAAATTGGAATTTCCACCAGCAGGATTTAAAGCAGAGCTTTGTGCTTTTGGGATGTGTTTCTGGAAGGAAATGTGGCCTGGATTTGCCTATTTTCCTTTTTTTTTTTTGATTTTTTTTTTTTTTTTTTCCCTGGTCCAAGGGGAAATCTTAATTTCCAGGGAGAATCTTGGAATTTCCACCAGCAGGATTTAAAGCAGAGCTTTGTGATCTTGGATTGTGTTTCTAGAAGGAAATGTGGGCTGGATTTGCCTATTTTCCATTTTTTTTTTTAATTTAATTTTTTTTGGGGGGGGAGATGGCTGTTGCCTGGAAAAGCCCTCAGTGTTAGGACTTTTTTTTACAGATTTTACAGATTTGTTTAATTTTTTTTTTTTTAACAAAACCTTTTAGGTAGAACAAGAAATCCTGGGAAATCCTGACCCTGCCTTGGCAATGCCTTGCAAGGGCTGTGCTGCCCTCCTGTGTCCTGAACTGGCCAAAAAAATAAAACCAAAATCAAAATAAAATTAAATTAAAATCAAATAAAAATAAAATGAAAATCAAATAAAAATAAAACCAGGCTTTTATCTTTCCTGGCCTCTAAACCAGGTGTTTTTTGGGTTCATTTTTCACCCCTGAGATGTTTTTTGGGTTCTCTTTTCATCCTTTAGCTGTTTTTTGGGGTTGCCTTTTCATGCCTCAGGTGATTTTGGGGTTGTTTTTTCACCCCTTAGATGGTTTTTGGATTGTTTTATTGACCCCTGAGGTGATTTTTGGGATTCTCTTTTCACCCTTCAGGTATTTTTTTTGTTCTTTTTTCACCCCTGAGATGTGTTTGGGGTTCTCTTTTCAACCCCGAGATGTGTTTGGGGTTCTCTTTTCAACCCCGAGATGTTTTTGGGGTTCTCTTTTCAACCCCCAGCTGGTGTCGAGGTTCTCTTTTAACCCCTAAATCGTTTTTTTTTATTCTTTTTTTACCTTTCAGCCGTTTCTGGGTTGCTCCCAGCACCCTGGGCCATTTCTCAGCTCACATCTCCCCATCCTTTTTTTTCTCCTTCT